AGGAGTTGGTTTATACCACAGATTACACAGAAGACTATAAACCATAGCTCAGGAGTTGGTTTATACCACAGATTACACAGAAGACTATAAACCACAGCTCAGGAGTTGGTTTATATCACAGATTACACAGAAGACTATAAACCACAGCTCAGGAGTTGGTTTATACCACTGATTACACAGAAGACTATAAACCATAGCTCAGGAGTTGGTTTATACCACAGATTACACAGAAGACTATAAACCACAGCTCAGGAGTTGGTTTATACCACAGATTACACAGAAGACTATAAACCACAGCTCAGGAGTTGGTTTATACCACTGATTACACAGAAGACTATAAACCACAGCTCAAGAGTTGGTTTGTACCACAGATTACACAGAAGACTATAAACCACAGCTCAATACTTAATTTATACATAGTAAGCAATAAAACACAGCTTAAGATTTGGTTTATACTACAATTTAAACCGACAATAAAACAGATATCAGAAGCTGTTTATTATATAGTTTTTAAAATCAATACAAATTAACTGGAAATTGTGCATTGTAACTACAATGTACCTTGCATAGACAACAAAAGATAATTGAGGAATTGCTTTATAACAAACATTTTACTCCACAATATATACAATATTTTTAAAACATTAGTTGCTTAACATAATTTTAACATGTCTGTCATTTTCTATCCTGTAGAATAAGACTGATGATTAATTAAACAACATCACCTTTACTGACTTACTGCATGTCTCCAGTAAAAAGAATATATGTAGCAAGTATATCACATATAATTTGTCTGTCCAATGATTCTGTCAGTGAGGCTTATTGCTCAATAACAGTGAGCCTCAGGTTGGCTGGGTTACAATACAAAAAGTGTTACTTGAAATACTATTGACATCAGTCATTTACTAGGCAATAAGCTAGAAGATGCTGTAACTGGAAGAGCTAGCATAACATTTATTAATAAGACTTGTATGCTTTTACATCACAGTAAGACTGCTAATAAGTTAAATCTTATCATTATTTACTGGCTCATTAGGTGTCTCTAGTACAAAGAATATATAAAATAGCAATTCATTTATGTTTTGTGTATTATAGGTCACTGCCACCAAGGCCTTTTATTCATCAGGCCTGCTTATGAAATAAATGAATATTGTAGTTACCATGATAGAATATTCATTTATAGTTATCTGTTGTTGTTTTTGTTTTTTTACTCCGTCCAGACAGATATTGATGAGAGTTCCATTGCTTATTTTTCTTCTACCTTGTACAGGAAGTGTTTTGGTATTAGATATTGGATATGCTTTTGGCTAGTCAAAACAAATTGTAGGTTTTGGTTGCAGTCATATGGACACACAAGCAGAAGACAGTTTGGTATACACGATCACCAACTTTAACACAGAAACATTCTTTATGCATTTTAGTTTTAAAACTATCCACACTAGAAAAACGGAGAGCATGACTTCAATTTATTGAATATATGTAAAAGTATCATATGGGAAGCACTTTTGTAATTTTTCCTTTGTTTTTCTAATGTAATTACTGTATCGATGCTCAGTGAATATGCTTTTAATTGTATAAAATATACAGTTTTTATGAATTATTATCCATCAAAAATATTAGATTATTTTCAAAATTGTCTGGAATTTCCACTAATATATGTAATAAGACATTTGTCTTTGTGGTATTGATTAATTTACAGAGACTTCAGAAAAACTAAACATTATAGAGAGTTTCTAATAATGCTTAATATAATAAGAATCTGTGGATGTATTGAATGCCAAAAATAGTCTGTTAATAGTTCGATGACGAGGAACCCACTTTGAGACTAATAATGGCTGGAGACGGCTTAAATGGGTAATGAAGAAA